AAGATGTGAGGATGCTCAGACAGATGGAAACCTGTGATGCCAAGTCTCCCTCCATGACGGTGGCTGGGCCCTGGTGCCCACATACATGGTCAAACATTATTCTGGGTGTTTTTTGTGAAGGTGATTTTGGGTGAGATGAACATTGATGTATTTATTGTTTTATTGTCAGAGGATGTGCACGCTTGCCCAAGAGAGACAGAGGAGAGAGGGGGAGGGCAAAAGCATCCCCCATGGGCACGGTCACACCACAATCCCTTCTCCATTTCTCCACCGTCAGGATTTGAGGCATGCACACACATATGCCTGGCATGTTTTTCAAGCCATCAGGGCTGGGCTTAGAACCACCTAGTTGGTCTCATGGGATCCAGCTTCCTTAACCTCTGGACTATGGGGACAGCCCGAGATTAACGTTTTAATCCATGGACTTCGAGTAAAGCAGATTGTCTTCTGGGGTGTGGGTGAGCCTCATCTAATCAGGTGAAGGCTCAGCTAGAGCAAGACTGAGCTCCCCAGAGAAAGCAGGAATTCTGCAGCAGGTGGCCTTCGGCTGGAATTGCCACACTGGCTTTACCCCAGGTCTCCACCCTGCCAGCTCACCCTGTAGCCTTTGGAGTTGCCGGCTCCCATCCTCATGGGAGCCAACTCCTTAAGTCTCTCTGCATGTCCACGCCCTATCGACTCTGAGTGTTTGGAGAACCCTGGTTAATGCCAGTGTCACTGGTGATGTCACCTCCCTGGGCCATGTTTCGCCTGCGCCTGCATTGGGTCTCCTGAAACCATTATCCCCCTTCCCCATCTTTCCAGTGGCTGCCAGGGTTCTCTCCGTCAGGGACAGACCTGAGCTGTTCTGCTCACGGTTCTCTGCGGGCCCACCTTTCCCACCACCGGCTCCCAAACCGCAGTCACCCTGGCATGGTCCCCTCCATGCTTTCGTTCTCTCGGACCTTCCGTTTGCTGAAATGAGTAGGAGAGAAATAGACCTGAGGAAGAGTGGGCTTTCCTGGCCTGAGTTTTCAGGATTACTTAGTACTAACGCCACACGTCGAGTACCACCAGGGCGACTGTTCCATCCCGATTTGGGGGAACACTGGGTTACAGAATAAAATCTGTTCTCTGCGTGGCCCTTCGAGGCCCTTCACCATCAGGAGTAGTTATTAAACACTGCGATGCACCGGGCGCTTTCATCCCAGCTACCCTGAGCACTCTCGGAGCAGCACGCATTTTTTTCTTCTTCCTGCAGAAATTGTTCTGAAGCCTCAAAACCCAGCCTCCTTCTTTGTGAGCCACCATGAAGCACTCTCAGCCTCCAAGTGCTTTGTCCCATCCCAAGAATCAGCGTGTACCATTGTCCTATCACGAACACGAACTCACACATTGGAAGGTATTCTCCCTGGCTAGAGCTCATGGAAATGGAAGCTCGTTTTAGTCATTTTTAGAAATATCCAGGAGAGGGGCTGGAAGGTGGCATGGTGGTTGACGGTGCTGGACTCCCACATGGTCGACCATGGTTCGAGTCCCGGACCTGGTGGATTGCTTTCTCTCTCCTCTCTCTCCCCCTCTTTCTCTCTCTCTCACTTTGTCTCTCTCTGGTCAAATTAAAATAAACAAATGAAGTTAAAATAATAAAAGTAATGATTAAAAAATATACAAGGGGAGCCCCCAGTAAATAGGGAAATTTGAGAGTAAATCTGCTTTACTCAAAATCCACTAATTAAAATATTAATCCCGGATTGTCCCCATAGCCTAGCTGTTAAGGGAGCTGGATCCCACATGGCCAACCAGGTGGTTCTAATCCCAGCCCCGATGGCTTTAAAAGCATGCCAGACACATAAGCGTGCATGCCTCGAATCCTGATAGGATGGAGAAATGGAGAAGGGATTATGGTGTGACCATGCCCCGTGAGGGATACTTGTCCCCTCTCCCTCTCTCTCTCTCTTTTTACCCTGCCCCATCGCTGCACACGTGGCAAAAAGAAATAAAAAAAGAAAAGGGCTCACATTGCCAGTTAATTCTTTTTTTCTTCAGATGAAGGCCAAATTAGAGAACTTCATTTTTGCAGGAGATCAAGCGTCCTGCTAAGTGAGTTCAGAATCAGCCAGTCTTGTCTGCCACGCAGAGACCACACAGGATGGGACAGGCCTCCCTAGCTGGGACAGAAGCGACTGTCCCTGGAGAAGTGGCCCTCGTGAACGTGACCCCTGAAGACAGCTCTCTTCCAGGAAGCTGGCCAGGCTGGCTTCTGCAGGCCCAGGTTTTCTCTCTGAAATTGACCAGGAAGGAGTTCTTAGGGAAAATCTCTCCTTATCCAGCCATAGAGTAGGGCAGGGGTGGTTAGCCTGCTAGAATTACACTCTCAAGTGGCATAGGACATACGATTTCTGAAAGCCAGAGGGGTGAAACTTCAGACGTCAGCCATCATGGCCTTTTACGAATGGGGAAACTGAGGCCCAGGGAGAAAGGAATTACCCAAGGTCACTCAAGTCTCACTGGGTGCTCTGTAACTTTAATCTGTAACTTGTAAGGCAGAGCTATTATTTCATATTGAGACACGATTCCTGATTTAAAAAAAAAAGGGACCAGCAGTTAGCGTAATGGCTATGTCCCTGGACTCCCACACAGTCGACCACGGTTCATGTCCCGGACCCGGTGGCTTAAACTCATGCCGGGTGCGTGTGCGTGCGTGCCCAAGACCCCGAGAGGAGAATGGAGGAGAAGGGATTGCGGCGTGGCCATCCCCCCTGGGGGGTGATTTCTCACTTTCTGTCTCTCTCTATCTGGCGAGTGCACATGCCCTATAGAAAAAAAAAAAAAAAAAAAAACTCCTGCCTCTCACCCCTCCACAATGCTGTGGAATTCCCAGGCCATCCTGGTCTCCCCTGAGGATGTGCTGGCACTGAGCTAGAACTTGTGGCTTCAGAAAACCTGGTCCTTGGCTAACTCAATTCTCTCCACATAATTAAGAGAGGGGGAAGTGAAATGTCAAGAGGAAATATGCATTTAATATATTTTAAAAAGTCCTGTCCATTTTTTTTCCCTGCCAGAATTTCTAGCCACTGCAAATGACTTCCAAAAATGATTTCAGAACAGAAAGGGGCACGGAGGCCGAGAAGCGGTCCTTGATAGCTCCTCTTCCTTCGGCATCATTTAGGATTTTAATTTGGAAGCATGTCAGAGAGGCAGAGGGGCTTTGGGCCATAGCCGAGCAGGACTACTTTAGACGCAGACACATAGATTCTTTTTCTTCTCTTTTTTTTCTTTTCTTTTCAGCTTGAGAATTCCCTCTGAAAAACGACCTCAAGAATGAAGACCTCTCCACATTGATTAGAAGGGAGGCATTTCTAATTCCACACTAACGGGAACTTGAGCAAGATTATTCCAAAGCAAGCATAGTCGAGCTCACGGCTATAGTCCTGTACAGAGAGCTGGGGCGGGGAGCAAGGGAAACGCTGAAATGAGCCTCATGTTCGGGAAATATCACTGAAATGCTTTTGCAACTTCATCACCGTCTGCTCAGGAGAACACATTACTGTTCAAGCCTCCTATTAACCCGAGAGTCAGGAGCTTCTAAACCAAGAAAGGAAGAAACCAGGCGGATTATTTACGAGTTCTTTTCCTTTCACCATTTTACACCGCTGCAAAATAAGCATGTTTGTTACCTCGGAACCAAGGCCTGGCGAGTTAATCCCGCTCCTCAGGGGTCTGCTCGCTAGTCTCCCTCGCCCCCTAGTGGACCTATGTGACGGTGCGGCTCGGTCCCCCAGCTGCAGAAAAGCGGGCCACCAGCAGACAGCGCCGCACCCTGTACGGTCCGCGCGCACAGCCTCCGCGGAGCTCCTCGCTTGCTTTCTATCCCCATCCAGCGACCAGCAAAGCTGCGGTGCGAGGGAATTCCAACCGCGGCTGCAGAGTTCGAGACCTCAGCATAGGGTGTTAACCTGGGCCAGGAGCGCATGCGTCTTTGGGACTGTTCGCAGCGGTGCAACTTCCCCTGGGAGCCAACTTCAGGGCAACCTCGGACTCGGTGCAGGTACCTGCTCCTGCGCACGGGTGGGCGGGATGGCTAGGGCTAGGGACCATTAGGTTCCCAGTGGAGGTGGGGGAGTGAATGCTCGCGCGCCGGGCTCTGGAGGCGCGCTGGATGTTCCCATAGTAAAGTGACTGCTCAGGACCGAGACGCGGGGTCCTTGGCTGTCGGGGGTAAGACATACGTTGGGGAGGATCCCTGCTGGAGGTGTCTGGATCAGGGATCCTGCAGACAGCAGGCGGGTGTCCTGGGGATACGCTTTGAGGCAGGGGCTCTTCCAGGAGGGTCTGCTGTGCAGCAGCTGTGACGGAAGTTCTGGAGAGAGGCTGAGCGACATAGTGGCAGGAGGTTGGACGGGGTGGTCCTGCGCTGGCGCTTACTAGGGGAGCGACCCTGTGGGGATTTCTGGAGGAAGTATTTGCAGTAAGGTTTACTAGGAGAGGGGCTGGTTTGGGGGGTCCCCAGGGAGGGGGCTGTGCTGAGGGTCCTGGGAGGGGTAGGTAGTTTGAGGCCTCTTGGGGACACTCCTCCCATGGAGAGGTGGCTGGGTAGGGTGTCCCAGTCCGGGAGGGAGCAGACTGGTTATGACCCTCCCGTCTCCCCTAGTGGAAGCGGGTGAACATCTCAAAGAACTGGCGCTCGGGGCACGGGGAGGGGGGCGTGTTGGCGGCGGAGATGGGGAAGATTCTCGCTCATTTGCAGTGGCTCGGAGGGGGTACCTCAAACGAGGATTTCTGGGGTGGTGGAGGAGCACCCTGGCGACAGCAGGTTGTG